GGTGGTGGTCCGGTGAACTATGAGCCTCAGGTGGTGGTCCGATAGAAGTCCGAGCCTCAGGTAGTGGTTCGACAGAACTCCGGGGCTCAGGTGATGGTTCGGCAGAAGTCTGAGCCTTAAGTGATGGTCCAATAGAACTCCAGGCCTCAGGATGTGGTTCGGTAGAAGTCCGAGCCTCAGGTGGTGGTCCAGCAAAAGTCTAAGCCTCAAGTGGTGATCCGGTAGAACTTCAGACCTAAGGTGGTGGTCCAACAGAAGTCTGGGCCTCAGGTGGCGGTCCAATAGAACTCCGGTGGTGGTCGAGGAGGAGCTAAGGGGCAAGAGCGATCTTCGATCTCTCTCTTGCTCTTTTACTTGGGGTCCCTTTTCAAAAGAAAGGAGGGGTCTATTTATAGATTTCCTAGAGTATCATGTTTCGTAAATAGGAGTAAGATGAAGGGTAAATAGGGAATGGTTTGGAGGACGGCCGATGTTGAATCCCTTGATCGTGGACAGTTTGTTATACATTTGAAGGTCTTAATGATGTCGGAACTCTGTGACCTTGGGCTCGTTGGATTCGTTTCGTCGAGTCACTCAATTCGACTATAAGCATGTCATGTTTAGAAACTATTTGGTAAACCAAATTGTAGTTCAAACCTCCCAACAATGCTTTGGGTCCTTGATTTGGGCCCATTTGAGCTCAGAAGAGTCGGATTTGGTGTCGTTGGGTTCATATTTCCGAGACGTTCAGTTCAACTATAAGCTTGCTGAAATCATAGTTCAGATGATCCCAAATTTAATTTTGAAAGTTTCCTCCTTGATTTTTCCTCGAGATTCGTGCCCGATCAAGATAAATTTTGAGGATGTATCAACTTTAGAAGTCATTTTATTAGAATAGGATAGTTGTCTAGGGGCTATTTAGGATCACTTTCTATATTGTTTTTTTTTTTTTTTAATTTTATTCATATTTTTATATATAAAATTAAAAAAATTTAGCATCCTGAATATGTATTGGTTTGTTTTTAATGAATATTGCATGAGGTGGTGATAGTAGAGGAAAAAGGTGATCAATGACAACAAATTAATGCAAAATAAACCTTTCAAATTAAATAAAGTTTAATAAAAAAAACATTCTGTTAAATAAAAATTTAGCCTAACTCATCCTAATTTAGCCCATCTGAATTATCAACCTAACATTCCCTTAACACACCAACAATCCATCCCTATTATTATCTCCGGTATCCTGATTCGTCCGGACATCAATCCAGACACGCCACGTCATACAAATACATCTGGGCCCAATATATTCGGGTGATATAACGCGTCTGAATTGAATGTCCGGACGTAATAATTCGTCCTCCCATTGACCCGCTCAACCACTCTCCCACAACCATTAAAATCCCCTTCCTCCACCCTTTTTAAACAGCCTTCTCCTTCCCTCTCCCCATCTCATCATCTACTCCTTGGCCATGGCCTCCGCTCGCGCTTGGCTGCTCGTCGCCTCCCTTGCCTTCTTGCTCATCGCTAGCGTCGCCGAGGCCCAAACATTGTCGCCGACCAAGGTTCCGACGGTCTCTGAACCCATTAGCCCCCACAAAACGGAGAACGAAGAGGAGTTTTTCCTTCCCGAACAGAGCGCTGAGGAGGTTAACGTCTTTGTTGATTTAACCGAAGTCAGGCCGGAGGATTATCAGCGGGAGCTGGTTGTCCTTGGCCATTAATATATAATTGAGTTCGATGGATTCCATTATATAATGAAGAGTTTGTTCATGGTGAGCAGCCTCTGAATTCTATAGAAACTTGTTTGTTTTGGCTGATGGAACAGTTATTTTTTAAGCGAAAAAAGATTGAGTTATCTTAAGATATGTTTTTTCTGTTTTGTTTGAAAAAAAATATGTTGATTGTGTTGAAGTGATTGTGAGAGCTCTCTCATCGCCTGGTTTTATATAAGTTTGTGTGCAATTGCTCATTGAAATTGTTTTTTGAAAATTTGTGTGAAAGATTATTCAGATTTGCCTATTTTGGATGATGAAATAGTTCTTGTTTGAGAAAGAAAAAATATCTAATTATAATAGGATATGTATTTGTGTTTTGTTTAGACAAATATTGTAAATGGATTTCTTTTAAGAATATATTATGAGTAAGATTATGATTTTGTTTGCGATAGTTTTTATTATTATTATTATTTTTTCAGATCGTAATTATAATTTTATTTAGTCATAAATTTTTACAGTTTTCAATAAAATTTTGTATCAAGAAACTGCTAATTTATACAATAGTGTTTTAAAAAAATTATTTATCTATAGTAGCTTTAAAATCATCTTTAAAAAAAATTATAACCGTCCCAAACGGATCTTATGTCTCCTTTTGTATAAGTATTAAGAAATGATAGAGCTTATCTATTAAAAAATATTAATGAGATATTTTATAAGATTATAGTTTATAGTTTAATTAGCTTAAATATAACACAATTAGTCTTATCTTCAAATCAATGCAATACAAATTCATCACATACATTCCTAATCTTAGCATTCGTTTGAGGAGAAATTATTACAAGCGGTCACCAGATCGTCCGAAGGTTAATCAGGATGCATCACGTCACATGGTACACAACGATACACAACAAAATAATGACATGACGCTGGCATGTCCTAATTCACCTCTGGATGGCATTTGGTGACCACACGTAATAATTTCTCTCATTTGAGACAACTTCTTACTGCTTTCTAAAATAACTTTTTAATACAAAAAAATTTTAAATTAGAAAAATTTATATTAAAAAATTGCCTTAAAAAAAACAACAATATATTCTTTATTTATTTTACAATGCAATATATTTCTTGCAATTTATGCTACATGTTGAATCAACAATAACAACAAAATTTTATCCCACTATTAGAGTTGGCTAAATGAATCTTTTTCGCCATTGTATTTTATTAAGAGTCAAATTCTAATTTAAATCTAATAAAAAAAGTATTTGTTAATACTTTATAAGTCTTTTTAGAAGTACCTCTATCTTTCTTTTTATAGGTCGGATCTAGTACATCTTGTCTCGTAAGGTTGACATTTGAAGTTCTCAATCCATCTAAGACGGCTCTCTGTAAACTTATTTGTCATGGGATCAACTCTACTTTTTCATGTATATATCTCTAAATATAAAGCCACTTATCTACCCGAGCATCCTCATCTCTACAACACTTAACATAATTTTATGCTTGTTTTTTAATGCCCAATATTTTGTGTCATAAATCATTGCAGGCCTCACTATCATCTTATTAAAATTTCCCTTAATCTTGAGGGGAACTTTTCTATCACATAACATTCCTGATGCATTCCTCCACTTCCAGCATCCAACTTGAATTATACTAATAATATTTCCATCTATTTTACTATCATTTTAAACAATAGACCCGAGATATCTGAAACTTGCATTATTTTTAATGACATGATCACCCAATGTATTAGATATGGGTATTATCATCCATGGTATGTAGGACTATATTTCCGATATCATTCATGGATGACAAATTGTAAAAGCGCCATGGTATGAAAGATAATATTTAGCCATATCATATCATGGATGACAAATCATGAATGTATAATGATTCAACCTTTCATGTTTATAAAAATCAAACTCGACTTACATAACTTGATTGGCATAAGAACTCTTGAGTACATTGAGAATTTTTTATAGTGGGGTTAGTATTGCTTAAAGGAGAAGCAAGGTTTGAGCCTTTATGGCCATATATAATATATAAAGGGTATGATCATACATGGTAATGAATACAATATTTTGATCATGTCATATCATGAATAACAGATCATAAAAGTTAGTCTAACCTTTAAGAGCATCTCCAACCGAAAATCTCATTTTTCACTCCAAAATATCGTGAAACTACAAAATGCCGTGATTCATCTCCAATGGAACTCCACTTTTCACACTTTTGCAGGTAACGGTCATCTCTTTTTTCCCGCGGCAAGTTCGGTAGAGAGGTAAAAATGGCGGAGATGAATAGTGCAACGCCAATATTGGCGTCCCACTGTTCACCCGCAGCCAAATAGCGGGAAATTTGCAATTCCACTGGAGCTGGCTAGGGACGTCATTCAAGAGCTTGGAGTTCGGTTGGAGATGCCCTAAGATTAATGAAGACCAACCTTATTTTAATGATACCAACATAATAGCCAATGTTGTTTGCCAGACTCATTAAAGCGTGGAATGGTATTAATGGAGGGCTTTGATGGAATAGAAATGAACAACTCATCATAACAACCTGATAGAGATAAAGGTATGTGGGTACATTGCTAATTATTTGACGATGAGATTAAAAAAGCAAAAAGAAGCAGATTTTGGCTAACATTAATGTCAACAGAGTCCGGATGAGAATATTTCACCAAATATCATACTATGAATGACAAACCATAAAAGCTAGTCAACTGATCCAATCTTTTGAAGTTAACAAAAATCTTTCAGACTTTAAGGGTTTGTTTGGGACAACTACAGCTTTTAATACAGATGGTTGTTCTGCTACGAAAAAAGTAATTTTTTTTAAAGTTGCTGTAGAGAACAACTTCCTAGCACAAAAAATTATTGAAAACAACGAAAAATAGTGACCATATAAAAATTGTATTTGTGATTTGAAAAACAAAGCATAAAGAAAGCTATACCAAACGATCTTGTTTGGCAAATTTAATGCCAAGGGTGGAATTATAAAAACCTATCAACTCTGCAGTCAACGGGGGAACCTCATGATGTCTATAACAAGGTTTAAAATTGCGTAACTGCGCCTCGAGGCGGTTTTCGTCCGTGAGGCGAGGCGTAAGCCTCGAGGCGGTCTGAGGCGTAAGCCTCACGAAGACAGAATTGCGTAAATGAAAAATTAAGGATTTTAACAGGAAAATAATAGCAATATTGGCAAATAAGAAAGTAGATGCAATAAAATTATGTCCCAAAGTACAAAATCACAAAATATTAGTTTAACAAAACTCCCAAAATACAAAAAACATATGAAATGAAATAAATGTTTACCTTATCAAGTTCCATCTTTGCAATGATTAATAGTTCTGTTCATGCCATCCAACTGCTCAACAATGTATTCCAGTTTTTGGCAGCAAATTTCGTTGGAAATTCTTGCACCATAATCGCAATTCTCAAACGGACGATACTCACAGGCACTCTTAATTTCTTCTCTTAATGTCGTTTGGATCTCCTGCAACGGTAAGAAACATGCTTTAAGCTTCAAAGCCACAGTAGTACATTAACAGTTGAAGTTAGAAGCCAAAATATAAATATATCAAGTTCTATAACTCCATTATATGTTAAAATCTCAAAATAACAATAACTTAAGCGTTACATTTGCTAAAATCTCTAATAGTTCATGGAAAAACATGAAATTATTAAATAGATATTCATGCACACCCATCAGTTGAACCAAACTAAAGGTCCCTGATTGCAAAAATGCTAGAAAGTTCCATTTTCTATGCTACACCAACATGTATACGGGAATAAGGACTCGATATGATATGAACAAAAGACATCTATTATTAAAAAATAAGACATGAACACTCATTGAACATGACATTATAAAATTATATCTTTAAATATTAAAAGCTTACATAGTAATTACAGATACTAAATAAATATAAGATGAATTCGTATAGTAATACATTTATTTTAATTATTTATTAAATAAATTATGTATTTAAAAAGTTAAATGTCTCAAAATCAATTGAATAAAAATAGTTATATCATATTATTAATTGTTAACTTCATGGTGAGAAAATTGATTATTTGGTCAACAAATTAGATTTTATAAATAATACATAGAAACATAGAGCAGAATACAACAACAACAAGATCAAGCCTTTGTCCCACTACATGGGGTCGGCTACATGAATCTTTTTTTTTTTTCATTGTGTCATGTTAAAAGTCAAATTCTCGTTTAAATCTAAAAAAGAAAGATCATTTCAAATATTTTCAAACCAAGTCTTTTTAGGTCTACATCTACCTTTCTTAATATAAGACAAATCTAATACCTCTACTTTCCTAACCGGGTCATCGGAAGGCCACCGCTTTATGTGAACAAACCATCTAAGGAGACTCCTCTAATCTTATCTTCCACTGGAGCTACTACAACCTTTTCACGTATATTCTCATTTAATATCCAATCTCTAAGGATAAACCCACTCATCCACCTGAGCATTCTCATCTCTGCAACACTTAAATTAGTATTATGCTTCTCTTTTAATGGCCAACATTTGGCACCATAAAGCATTGCATGTCTCACCACCATCTTATAGTATTTTCCCTTATGTTAGAGGGGGACTTTTCTATCACACAACAAGCTCGATGCATTCCTCCACTTCAACCATCCAACTTGAATTCTGCTGATAATATCCTCATCTATTTCACCATCACTCTGAACAATAGATCCAAGATATCTACAACGTGTACTCTTATTAATGACTTGATTTCCCAAAATCACAGTCCCCTCACTAGGGCTATTACTACAAAAATTGCATTCCATATATTCAGTTTTAAATCTATTCAAGTGAAAACCTTTAGACTCTGAGATTGACCTCCATAATTTTACCTTAAACTCCCCTCTAATCTTATCAACAAGAACAATATCATTAGCAAAAAGCATACACCAAGATTCATCCTCTTGTAAATGTCTAGTGAGAAAATCCATGACTAAAGCAAAAAAGATATGGGCTTAAGGCTGATCCTTAATGTAATCCAATCAAAATAGGAAAATACTTAGTCAAACCACCTTGGGTTTGAACACAAGTAATAGCTTATGCATACATATCTTTCATGATTTGAATATAAGCGTTATTAACTCCTTTCTTTTCAAGAACTCTCCATAGCACTTCTCTTGGGACTTTATCATATGGTTTTTCTAAATAAAATTAGCATTTAGTAGCTGCTAAGTTATTTAAGTAATATATTTTAAAATAAAAGAGACAATAAAGCTTAATTTAAATTATAATTTTGAAGTTAAAATTTATTAATCATAACACATGCAGTGAACACTTATGTTTGTTAATTCATTTTCATTTCTTTTAATTAGACATGTATATGGTGTGTTTGATACGTATTAGGTAAGTGCATGTGTCTAATACAACAAACTTCCTTAGTCAATGCGTCATAATCCTTTTTTCTAATGGTACTACCTTGTCTAGATCCATTCTTCTATTCACTACATTCTACCAATGATTCTTTTAAATGCAAATTTGAGGTGATAGACTTTACATTAAAAAAAAAATACTCGAGTAAAATATGAGTAAATAATAGGCTAATCTTTAAAAAGATCAAACATTAATTGTTACTGTTTACACAAGCCTTTAAGCGCTAATTTACTCCAATAAAAAATCATCCCATCCAGCATTAGTTTACATAGTAATCGTCGCTCACTGTAATACATCAAGTCATTATCCACAGGTCATTAAAAAATAAGCATAAAAGGTTCGAATAATCCATGGCCATTAATCTTATGGATATACGCCACAAGAGGAACAATCTCTTAGAAACAGCCAAAGCAGCCCACACATGGTCGGAGTCAGAGTTAATTGAGAACAACGGCAGGAAGCAATTACAAATACAAGCATTGCACAGAAAAAGAAAAGAAACGCTGTTTATGGACCCGCATCTTCCAGAGATATTGTCTAGTTAAATATCCAGGATGACATAAATTTAACCACTCTTCTTATCCTGCATTTCTCTTGTAATATCTCAAGCTGGTTTTGGGTTGCATCAGGTTAATTGGGAACACCCAAGAAGAGCTTCTAAGTTTTAATGTCAGGTTATAAAGTGAGATCAGTTCTAAACAAGCTATAGTTTCTGCCGTCTCTAACAGTCCCACAAGACTATGCAGCTAATAGAAGGCAAATTACAGCCCTTTCCTGATTAAAGAATAAAGAGTTGGAGTGGTTGTCAGAGAATAGAACCAAACATTCACTTTAAAGTAATCACAGCTATCTCCACAAATAACCAAATTTTGCAAAGCATTGCCCACCTCAAGTTGGATTTCTATTTAGTTAATTATTGATGAGGGTATTATAAATGATCCCTTGACTATCCATATGTGGCCAATTTAATCCCATATATTATATTTCTCCAATTTAATCTCTTGATTATAAATTTTTTTTTTAAATGATCACTTATGGACTAAAAATTGGGATAAATTTGGTAATCACAATTCTACATGAGATACCTTTTTGGAGCAATTTTGTATGATCAAGGGATTAAATTGGAGAAATGTGATATTTGGAGACTAAGCCGTGTTAGTTTTGTGTGGAATATGATTGTGTCAATTAATCGGATTGTACTGTTGAATCAAATCTCAATTCCGTCGATTGAGCTCACCGAGGGGTTGCAAGGGGGCCTCCCCTTGCTTTGGGTTCAGCGGCCTTGCCCACAAACTTTTTTTCCCCGTACAACTGTACAACATTATGGCATTGTATACTCTAGAGCCGTGACGTTGTACATGTGTGCTGGTTAGAGACAAAGAGTGGAGCATCGCGGCGTTCCAAATCTCAATTTTGCTAGTCAAACTAGAGATAGAGAGTTGAGCGCTACGACGCTCCAAAATCCAATGCCACAGTGCTGCAAGTAAAGATGGATAATTTTCTTTCTTATTTTTCATGTTTAACTTGAAAGGTTGCATTTGGGATGGTTTATGAGAGTCCCTTTGACAGTTCTATATAGAACGTGTGTGAAGAGTGAAGAGAGACAAAAATAGAGTGAGAGAGAAAGATACCTGTACAATTTCTCCCAATTTTCATTGTGAAGTTCTTGGTGTGGTGTGGTGTGGCTCAGTATTTTTTTTTTTTTAATTTAGGTTATTTTTTCACATTAAATTTTGGTATACTTTCTTTTTTGTTATATTTTCTCTTTCTTATTTGTGTTCGCTGCATGGCTTTATTTGCATCAAGCTGGCCACAAGGATTTAATCTTATTATAAATGTAGTTAGAACTTGAAGTCTTCAAGTTGGATTAAAAGAAAATTTGCAAAACCAATTTTAAAAAAGATGAACAATCCACTAATATATATCAGGGAACGGAAGAATAATTATCACTAGTGACATGAATTGACATATAGACGCTATTAAGATGTGTAATGAAAGGATTGTAATAGTTGTGAAATTGGAGATAAAATTATGAAAAAAAAAATTATACTTGATTTTCCAGTAACATGTAATCATGTAAAATTCAACACAAAAAATAAGAACATTTTTTTTTCAAGTCAACCATAAAAATCGTCATCACTATAAGCAGTTCCACCAAGTCATAATGCATACAAAATGTTGGCTCCAATTGGCCAGTTTACCATTTAGGCTAATAATCTATATTGAAAAATAAGAAAATAATCCGACTTCCTACTAAATACAAAAGAAAGATGTATATACATTTTTTAATGTAACAGCACATCCAAGAAGGGATGATTAAGATAACGAACCATTTATTTACCTTAATATCTATGAAAGTTATCCTACATTGTTAATCATTCTCTAATTGTTTAACATCTGATTGAGACTAGATGGCTCTTTGTACCTTAAAAGCATAATTTAGAATATATTTTTATTTTGCATTATTTAGGTTGTAAGTTTCAAATTTCAAGTCATCTTGCCTATATAGCAGATTGTAACACCTACATATACCTCTAAATTACGAGATACAAGACAAACATCGACCTCCCCTTAAACCTAAGGTTACGAGTCCTAGCCTACTAGGCTTCTCTAATAAGAAGAGTATTGATTTTAAGTATTTAAATCATAGTTTATGATGATTAACCAATCCAACCTCATATTTGGAGCTTTTTCTCTATAATAGGGTTGCACGTCCTATGGTTGTTGTCAAGCTATATCAAAATATTTGTCAACACACAAATACAATTCTCAAATTTACTCAACACAAATGGATCATGGGTCGTCTTATCTACAAGACGAAGTCATAAAACTTGTTGTTAAGCTTGTCTAAATAATATAATTAAGTCTTGGTTACCAGATATCTCTTGTCAGACCGATACAAAGCTAGCAAGCCCAAAAGACCATCTTAAATCCCAACTGAGTGCAAGACAAATACCCGAAAGACGCCTAAATCCTTGGTTTTCTCTATCAAACATGGAAATGTAAACCTTACCATAATCAAACCAAAATCCTTGAACTAGAGGCACCCTAAATTCACGAGCCTTGACATCTTTAGACT